TGTGTACTTATGTACGCACGTAAGAAGTTATACTCCTTTGGCGTAACAGAACAAAAATAGCTAAAGATTTCATCCCGTATGTCACAATTCTTTGTTTGTAAAATGGAATGCAGTTAACTTCATCATGTTGCTTTTTGGCTGTCATAATTGTGGCATATTTTTTTCCAAACGTGCCAAAAGAAGTATTACTTTAAAAATGATTATTTACTATTAATTTATTTTTTACTTTTTAGTTATTATTTTATTCGTATTCTTCGGGGTGCATAAAAAACACAGTCCGCCATATTGAATTTAGAATGACCAAAATAAAAAAAATAAAGGGAGTTGTGACGTATCTGACGTGTGATGTGTATCTTACACTAACTGATAATATGTATGTGCTTTGAGAAGTGTTCCTACTATATGGTCTCCAAACAACAATAAATTAAATCAACCAATACAGTTAGTTATATTGTACCAATATGACAAAGATTATTTAAGAAACACATATTTATTTGTTCATAAAATCTTGAACTAAGTTTAAAATATTTTACTTAAGGTTAATTGAATACTTTAAGAGAGAGTAAGTCTAAATGTCACGTTTTACATGAAATATTCTTTTTTATAACATTCGTTAAGGTAAGTTCGCACTTGAATATGCAACACTCGATTTATCTGCGGGCTTAAAGGTGACGGGCTGGCGAAGTTGGGAAAAATTTCTGTTTTATCCTAAGAAAAGTTTGATGAGGGTCCGTCATTTATATATAAGGGATTTCTTTACTTGCGTGAAATAAATTATTGTGACACGTATCGTGCTTCATGTTGTTTAGTAATATTGCATTCGAAAAGTAAAATTTTTGAACGACTTCAAAAACATCTTACTCAATTCAATTATTAATTTTGAATTTTAATTGGTTGTTTGTAGTTAGGTAATATATTCATAAGGTTGCATTAATCGACTTTATAAATAATACATAATTATATATGTATGTGTTAGCCTCTATATGTTTCTCCACTTGCGAAGTTTGTTATTTTGAAGAATGACGCTATCAAGAGTATTCTATGTTCCTTATAGGTCCATTTTTTCTCAATAAATAGAAATAGGCTTTAAAATGCAAAAAAAATGTTTTATTAGGTCGTAGATCCACCGAAGTACCGTAGATTAAGATAACCAAATAAAAGAACTTTTCATAAATAATCGTCATTGTGAAGTGTACAACAAATAAGAGATAATCATTTTGAATTTTGATAACATGACAAACATAAGGTTTAAATAATCTAAAATAAGGTTTTTAAGATTCAGACGAATATATGTAGTATATATGTAGTAAATCGGATCACTTATAGGAACTTTTCATTGTAAAAAAAAACAGGTTTTAATATAATATTAAAATACGTATATTACCGAATTTTGGAAAAAAATATTCTATTTAATCTGTAGAAATGTAATATATCTGCAATGAAAATGTTATTTCATTTCATAAATTGAAGAAAAATAATCATAAAATATTTTTTAGTCAAACAACGTCTCGCTTTTAAATCATTTTCATAGCGTCCACTTAGCTTAATGGATGCAGCTACGGCAAAGTTCGAGCAAATTTCAAGCTACCAAAAAGTCATACAAAGTGGATCCCAGTCAAGTAACTCACACTAAGTTCATCTGAACAAAAGTATAAATAGAATTTTTTAGAGCCACTCAAGTAATAAATAATAATATTTAAATGATAAATTATTTTAGGAATAAAACCTTTGTGGTATTGCTAAAATTAAGTTTTTTTTGTCTAACCTTGTGGCGCAAGTGTTACGGTCCCGGTTTGAAAATAAAAACGTTGACGATCATACTCGTCAAAATTGACATGACCAATCTCCTTTGTGTCTTCTCTATTCTACGTGACATTGGCGAAGTAATCTGTGCTCAATTGACACGCTTTGAAGTCGTTAACAAGATAATTGAATTGAAAATTGACAAATGAACTATGCATCAGGTGGAATACACGTTTTGTACTTGGGAGTATTGTACTATATGTGCAATGTACATAATACCAGTGTGTCCGACTGCATAATACTATAATAATAATAATATTATATAATCTATACATATAATAAAATTGTAACTAGGCCGAATCTGTACATTAAATATTTTTTGGAAAATCTTATTGAAATAAACATTATTATCGATACATAGGCCGAATTTATAGATTTTAGAATTTTTGTCTGTCTGTCTGTTACCACATCACCATTGGAGGGATTTGATGAAATTTGGTATGGTGATAGCTGGTTATCCGGGTCAACATATATGATACTTTTTACCACGGACGAATGTCTCATTTCTGAGATAAAATACAAAAGCTGCAATGTAAGAGTATACTTATATGTAAAACCTAAGAATTTTTGGTCATCTGAACACGGAAGGAGCCGCGGGCAATGCTTGTTTATTAATATAGTTTTTACAAAGTTACATAATATAAATGATTAACAGTTTCTGTAGCTCTGATATTTATTTTGGAACCTACCTGAACTAGGTTCAAAACTTGTGTCTCAGGTTACGGTTTTACAATGCATTTCTTACTTGGACAGAGGTGAAACTTAGGTTACATATATAAGAGGACAAGTATGAAACTTACATTAATAACTAGACTTAAACATATAACAACAAGACGTACAAATAGAAATTACGATATTATTACTTTACATTTTTTATAACTTATACTATGTTCCTTCTTCAATTTGTTTACATCCTTTTAGTTCGTTATTTATGCAGTAAGTTTATTTTAATCTTTACACACAGACACACATACAAAAAGAACCAAATTCGTTCAAAAATCAAGCGAATACTTTTTTCTGCAGCTCTTTTTTTGTAATTTCCCATAAAATATTTTAAGCCTCACTTATTCTCTTAGCAGAAGAAGGGCTGTATATTCTTAAAACATAAAATCAAGTTACACATTCTGAATTAATAAATCAATCCATCTATATTGCTCAAAACTTTTCAGGCGTATAGTCAACTAGTCCATGTACATTCATACAGAGTACCAGAAGTTTATTAGATAGTATAAAAATAGAACTGTCATACATTGCTTCAACTTTGCTCTAATTTCACACACAAAGTTTGTCTTATTTCCACATTGAATTTCGAAATAATTTCACCAGTTAAAATGTTAATTTCCTGCTCTAATTCTAAACTAAATTGTTTCTTTCAAGCTACGTGTATTTTGTTTCGAACACATTGGAATAAAAGTAAGGTTTTTTAAGTGCTTTAAACTTAACGAGCAAGCTTATTTGCACGATACTGAAATATAAAGCTATTTATTTTCCTAAGACGGGTATTATTGAATTGTAGTTTTCTGTGTTTTTTTTTCAGCAAAATAAGATATTCATAATTATTTACATTACATTTATGTTACTTAATATGCAAGCTACAATGGACCAAAACTGGTCGACGTAGCTAGGGCCGACCTCGGCACCACACCCAACATAATAATAATAATAATACTTAATATGCACGCTATACTACTATAAAATTTGCTTTAAAGAAAAATGTTCAGATTTTACAAATATTTAAACCGTAAATTAGACTTTAGAAATTCTATTATTTTAACATGAAATTATTTTAGCAACACACATACACCAACCCACACACACACACACACACACACACACACACACATACATATATAATGGTATACGTGCATACACGCACACACACGTATACGCACACGCGCACACACGCACGTGCTCGCGCGTATTTCAACGGGCTTCCCTCTCTAAAAGCTTATGAGTAATATTGTGTAACCTTAGCAATGCTACCTTGACATCTTTAATCACTTGTATTTAACCAATGAATTACCTACATTTACAAGTCCGTGTGTCTGCTCATAGCTATTCAGATGAGAGCTGCATATTCCATGTAATCCGCTGCGATTACTGTGTAAGTACTTATGTAATAATGGAAATTGAAATTCACTCTGCAAATGCTGTCAATACGCACTATGTTTGCTTTTATGTGACAGCAAAACGATTATTATTGCTAACGTTTACAAGTACCCAATTATTTTACAATATTCTATGAGTTAAATTATTGACATGTGTGATTGATATCTGCTGGGAAGGTTACGTATTCGATTGCTGTATGGTGAATATTAAGACAGTGGTAGCCCAGTGGTAACCGAGTGAAGTGAGTTTAAATCCAGAGTCTCGCACCTCTGATATTTTCATGTGCGAATCATTTCCAACATGATTACCACTTGTCTTAGCGGTAAAGGAAAACATCGTGAGGAAACCTGCATATCTGAGAGAACCTAGCAAATTTTCAAAAGACATGTGAAGTCCGCCATCCCGCACTTGGCCAGCGTGGTGGACTATGGTCTGATTCCCCTCGTACTGAAGGGAGGCCCGCCCCCAGCAGTGGGATATTAAAAAGGGCTGAACACAATGATGAATATTTGTGTCGATCACACATTTTGTCTCTTATATTTAAATAACTAAATCTATATAATAAAAAATAGTAATTAAAACAAAAGGTAAAATTTAAAAATTAATATAACGTAAAGTCTGCATGTGTATTATCGTTTTGTAACATGTGTTCTGAAATTATTCAGTAAACAAATTCAGTCGTTTTGGTTCAATTTATGATCCATATGTTTATTCAAAGAGCGTTAATAGGGGTTAAAAGATAAAATTATACATATGAATAAAAATTTTAATCATTAAATAAAATTTGCTTTTACGACGAATTTCCATTATTGTCATAGTAAAGAGTGGAATTTGTCGGAGGTCATATTTTGACACACAGAACGAAATATTTGTAAAATTTTTGGCACTTTCATATTTCATTTATTATTCGTATAAATATTTTTTACATAATATATGAAATTAATTAGTTGTTTTATGAAATTGCTAAGCTTTTTGTATATACTGTGACAAAATTGTGTTATCTCAATATATATATAGGTACATCAATTTTATATAAGTCATTACAATTTTTAAATTATGAAGAGATTGAAAGAAAAAAATGTACTTACATCAAAGAAATTGGAGTCCAATTTGTCGATTTTCCCAAAAATAAGATTAGACTCCTCAGGAATCGATAAACTTTTTAACCGTATTTCTAAGCTTTGACTATCAATTAGCTTACAATTTGCATACAAGCTGACGCTGTCCACATCCACTTGAAGTATTAAAGTCGTTGATTTCTCCTCCTCATTCAATACATGTAAAAATGTTTTACGGCTATCAAAACTATCACTATCTAATGATATTCGCATTAGAACTTCATCACTTGGTGTAAAACATAATTCAAGTACAATAGTATCTTCTGTGCTGATAGAAAATAAGCAAGATTTCTTTCTACTTAATGTAACAACGGCGATTATTTCAAATGAAGTGTCCAGTTCTGTCATGCTAGTGCTCAATTCACTGATTGGTATAGAAATAAACTTGTCATCTGTTAAGGTGACGGCTGATTTCTTATCGTCAACATATTCAAAGAAATCTGAATCATAATCGATCATTTCTTGTAGAAGATCATACTTATCTGAAAATAAAGTTTGCATGATAATTATTACGAAGATATTTTTTGTTAAAGAGAGCCAATTTTTCAATAGGCTGAAATAGAGCTAGAACATAAGCTTAAAATAGAGCTAGAAAATAAGCTTATAGTAAAAGCTTTCAGCGCAGTGTTGCACCATAACATTTTTGAATAATTTTTTTTTTAAAGTCTGGATCTAACGTACAAACGAATATAATTAAATATATTAATAATAATATTATATTTTTATGACTTACATAGTTTAGCATCCACGTTATTTATTGACAGCCATATATACAATCTGAAAAAAAAGTTTATAATTATTATTAATTAGTTGCATTCTTTTATTCAGTACAAAATACTAACAAGCTCAGGGTACTTTTAAGGCTAGACAAATACTACCATGAATTCAATCTATTTTAGAATAATTCATCCCTGTTGTAAGCTCTTAGCTGTCTCATACCTACAAATACCTGGTTGTTCGATAATATTAATATTAGTTGCTATAAATATTCCATTGGTACTTTTCCTAAAAGTAGAATTAGTATAAAGATATTCTTTAAAAAAACCCACGCTGTTTTTCACAATAACATTAATTTTCTCGTTAATCACTTTATTTTTATACAAAAAAATATTTTTTACTCTTTAGTTCGGTTCATCATTAAAGCGCGTTTCTTAGTTGTTTAAACTATAACTTATTTTATTTAATCCCTCAACGACCGCGGACTCGCCGGCGTTACAGTTAACAATAGATTTCTTAGAAATTTAATTAATTTCTTATAAATTTACCTGGAGGTGTATAGATTTATATTTCTATATTCTTTAATAATTGAGTTTGAGCAAGTGAAATGTTTGTTACCATAAACAACAACAATTTGAACTAAATTCGCCCACACCGCCTTAATATGCAAATATTTGAATGAGTAACAAAATCAGTAGAATCTCAAATGACAACCCCATTTAATTAAGACGTGTTTTGAATATGATAAAACGTTTCAGTCATGAAATCATGATTTGAAGTATTAAGTTCTCATGAATATTATATTATATGTATATTAATTACGAATGTTTATAGAGATTTTATAATATATATCAAATGTTAAGTGTATCAAGTTTATTCATGAGCTGTCTGTATCTCTGCTCAGCTCAGCTGTGCTGTTTTGTATGCAACGACTGTTATCTAATAGAAATCTATACTAATATTATAAAAAACGCAGAGTTTGTCTGTCTGTCTGTTTGTTTGTTTGAACGATCTAATCTCAAGAACTTCTAACCCGATTTGATTTTATTTACTTTAATTCTTTTTGCATCAGATAGTGCGTTTATTGAGGAAGGCTATCATCATGCGACCCAAGGGAGTGGAGCAGTAATCAAAAATGTTAACAAATCGGGCAGACTTCCATACATTATTGTAAAACTAAATAAATAAATAAATAAAAACTATTATATATATTATATAAATACTTAGAGACGAGTGAGACGCTAGTATTTTATATTTGTGAAAAATATATAATGTTTTTGTCATTTCAATGTAATTTTTAAAAATTTCTATTCTTGTTAGATTGTAGGATAACATCTTGTGCTACACCCAGAGGCGCATCGAAAAAGATCTAAAGAAGAGAGCCTAAGATTAAGTAGATCGATTAGATAGATTTTCAGATAAATCCACATTTTAAATGATTATTTATGTTATAACTTCTGAATCAGTTTAAAGAGTAATAAAGAATTTATATTTTGTATTTCAAGTCAGACTCATTTCTGGTAAGTAAAAATAACGATATTGTTTTATGATATTGTTGTCCAGAAGTATAAAATTTCGATATCGAGAATTTATCGAATCGGTTTTCATATACGGTTTGCTATATTAGCAAAAAAACATACATGTGTTCATATTTAATTCGGTTCACCGATTCGGTAAACCGTATGCGGTTTGTGATAGGTAAATTGTTACGTTCACACGATGCTGCTTGCTAAATCGGTTTTTCTATACAAAGGTTTTGTCGTACAGTGTGAATACAACTATATATTTGTATACACCATTAAAAACCGTATATGAAAACCGACTCGATAAGCCGTAACGTGTAAATCAGCTGTAAATTTCTTTGGAAATTCGTCTTTGACAAAGATTAAATAGGGGCTAGCAATTTATGTATACTCGTAAAAGCAAGTAGTAATAATAACAATAATTCAAAAGCCATATAATATGCACTACGAGCTTTGGAAGTGAAGTATTTATACATAATAACTCAAGCGAAACCGTGGGCAAAAATTAAAGTGATACAAACATATCTTAAGAAAAAAATACATTGAAACGAAACCTAGAACCTGTACTTTTAGCTAAACAATATACATAAAGATTGTAAATATTAATAGACAATTTCGTTTGACTAATCAAGATACGCAAACTTACACGATTTTCTACACTTACTAAAATTATTCTCTAAATTAATTTATTACAAGTTTAAATAGAAGACATTCATACGAGCTTTGATCAAACTTCATTAGGGTAATTAGACTGTGTTTAGTTTCATTTATCATATAAGTTAAGATGAATTAACAATTTGTGGAGTGACTGAAAATTACTCGCTGAAGATTACAGGAAAGTATATAAAGAAATACATATGCTTTTATGTATTTAATTTGCTTTGCGACTACAAAATATGATCTCTTTATGTAAAATCGTATTGGATGAGAGATTAATCTGTTATATTGATTCTACTACACTGATTCAAATAAAAACTTAAAATTCGTTTAGTTTTAACGGTTAGCATGGAATAGATAAACTATATATTATATGATATATCCTTCCTCAATAAACGGGCTGTCTCATGCAAAAAGAAATTTTGAAATCTGTTTAGTAGTTCCTGATATTAGCGCGTTCAAAGAAACAAACAAACTCTTCCTCTTTATAATATTATAAGTATAGATATGTATAATAAGTCTACACATGTACCTATACTAATACATAACCGCCCAGGTTAGACTGCTAAGCTTGCAGATTGAAATGTTGATAGCGTACATATTCCTGTAATAACAGAAGTTCACAATTGCTTTTTTTATTCAGACCTTAAAAAGTAAAAGGAGATGATAAATTTAATATCAGAAATATGTTATGAGGGTCAAACTAAAATAAAAGGAGAGTGGAGCCAAACTAGGCCGTTGGTAGTATAGTAATATAATTTGATCGATTCATGTTATTTGAATATTCCCCATTCCATCTGATAGTGAAAAAGTTGTGCTTAATTGATACTCTTACAGTTTCAAAATTTTAACTAAGCAATGCTTTGTTGACAAACTGAATCATGAAAAAAAATCTATTCTATCTTCTATCTATTATTGGGGATCTTTTTTAACGCGGTAGAACCCAAAACAATGATTTTTAGAATTTTAGTCTATTTGTCTGTTTATCTGTGCGTTTGTGCGCGCTAATCTCAGAAACGGCTTAACTAATTTGGGTGCTGTTTTCTTTAGTGAAGTATGGTAAGCTGCACTGAACATTTAGTATTTGTTTTATTTCAATAAGTTCATAAATAAAAAAGTTATGTCAATTTAAAGAATCACCTAGGGACGAACCCGAGTGAAGCGAGAATGAGTCGCTTGGAATTAATAATATTAAAGAACAAAACGCGATTACTGATACTGATTAGCAAGTGCTTGAAGCGATACTGATTTAAATTCAAAATGATTACTTGTATAATAATAGAATTTACACAAGAAACAGTCTTGTTCTTGAAATCTAGTGTTTTTATATCGCTCATAAAAGAGACTATATTTGTAATTACAATAATAAAAATTTATATTCATGTACGGGCTTCAGTTGCGTTTTTAACCCCCGACGCAAAAATAGAGGTGTTATAAGTTTGACGTCGATGTCTGTCTGTCTGTGTATGCGTGTGTGTGTCGTCTGTGGCATCGTAGCTCTCAAACGGACGGACAAATTTCGATGTGGTTTTTTTCATTTGAAAGCCAGTTTTCTTGCGGTGGTTCTCAGTTATGTTTGGTTAATATCAGTCCAGCAGTGTAAGAGTATCAGCTCTTTTAAAAACGAAAGTACTAGCAAGATTATTTTAGCTTATTTCAAACTTCATCACCAGGATTTTAAAAACTATAGCTTACATTATGACCTAAATACTAAACGTCTGGACAAAGACACATAAAACTATGTCAACGTAAGTATAATTATTGTAACATTATGTCATACAACGTCTATTTCTTTATACCATAGAAATGAAAAGACGGAGTAGAAAATACTTATTTATGATTTTATTTGTTCATCTTATTTTTCGTTATTATGCCATATTATTTCTGTAAAATTTAATTAAATGCCAATTAATGAAATGAAATGTGTGAAATATTTTAATTAAATCTGAAACTTTTTGCCGTTTTTTGCTTTTCATGTTGCAACGAATGTATTCACATGAGTTTTAAGTAGAGGCATTTGAAATAATATCAGTTTATCATTAAATACTAGCAGAGCCCGCGGCTTCGCTCGCGCTAAAACTAAAAAAAACTCTAAAAATGTAGGTGCCATACAAACTTTCATCCTCATTATAGAATTTATTTAATTATATTGAATAGCATTAGTACCAAGTCTCAAGTTATTCTAATCATGAATATTTTTTTGGTTTGTATTATAACGTGTTTTCCCGTGGGAATGAGATAATCTCGAGCGGGAAAAGTAGCCTATGTCACTCTCCAGCCCTCTCACGTGAAAGAAGGACAAACAAACATACTTTCACATTTATAATATTATTATGGATCTGACAAGGTCGTGCCAAACTGAAACTAGAATGTGTTGCTAGTTTTAACTACTAAAATTAGTAATTGAAATGCTTTTTCTCTAATCTTCGGAAATAATTATTCTTCATGCAAATTTTGACACTTATTCTACCACATGAATCGATTTTGATAATACTTTCCTTTAAGAGTTTATATCGTAAAGGCATTTCAATATAAACAGTTTAACGAATTAAAGATAAAGAATAATTACTTTTTAAATACTATTAAAGGGAAAAGATAATCTATGATATAGATAAAAATAAAAATTGTCATGTTAAATAAGGTTGAAAATATAATTGGTATGCTTGTTTTGTATAAGTCGTAATTGGCACATATGAAGATATTATTAAGAATATGATTATTTTTATGGTTGATATTTAAATTACATCTCAGTCATTTTGAACTCCCAGCATACTAGACTCAATAAACGAAAAAAAAAACATGACCGACTACCTCGTTGGTGTATTCAATAGAGAAATCCTTTCCACAGGATCGAAATATTTATTAAATTTTTTCTGTGTAAGAAAATTTAAGTTGCATGGATGACTCCTGGAAGACTTTTACAAATATAACATGGTTAAAATGATTTATTTAATCTATCTGTATTATAACGCACAAATCTTATGAAAAAAATTAAATTTCAGTGTTTCGAGCCTACTTGTTTACTAGTACCCTCTTTTTTTAATCAACTTCGACCAATAAAATATAAAAACCCAATATAGCCAGCCCTGATAAAGATAAAAAATATATTTTAGATGGCATTTTTAATTTAATTTCTGTTCTATGGCCATGCTTTGATTACACATTTCACTTTGTGGACGTCTCTCTGACGATAGTGTCGTTCAGTTGAAAGGTTTAGAGAACGTCTAAAAAGAACGAATGAAGCGAACGAGCCTAACAGATTGCAATGTAGCGACGGCATGTCGAGTCATATCATTTTTGTTACTCAAAAGAAAATTATGAAATTTAAAAAAAAACTGTTTTTTTGTGTAAAATGTTTATTATAAAACTTCACTGTTAGTGTATTGACGGTCATAGGGTGACTTCGATGGGGTATAGGTTTGACTCCTGAACCAAATAAGAGCATAATTTATACATATAATAAAATTCTAACTGAGTCGAATCTATCCATTAAATATTTTTTTAGAAAGTCATATTGAAATAGTCCTTATTATCGATACAGAGGCCGAATCTACAGTTTTTGGAATTTTTGTCTGTCTGTCTGGAAACGCATGACGAGAAAATTATTAGACAGATTTTGATGAAATTTGGTATGATGACAGATGGTTATTCAGTTCAATATATAGGATACTTTTTACTGCGGGAAAATATATCATCTCTGAGAAATCTATTCTAAAAGTTAAAACGTAACTTGGGACGAAACCGAGCGGAGTGAGGGTGAGTCCCTAGTGATCATAATATAAATGTCTATATACTTTCCTTTACTATCCGTATGTTGAGAAAAGAGAAAGTAATATTAGAATGTTTTACTATAAAAAAATCGATTGCCTACAACTATGGCTAAACTTATTTATATAGCTTTAAAATAGATCTATTTATTAATAAACGACTTTTTAATACAGTGGCAAAGTACGCATACTTATATAATTTACATGAGATTACAAGCTGTAAAGACACTAAACGGAAGCTCTCAACTATAAAAAGTATACGTGATGTGAATTGTATATCACACGGTTTTCTAGTAAATAATAAAATACTAACTATTTGTATGTTCTTGTTGTAGAAATCTACAAATAATTTATATATTTAATTATTTTTTTAAACTGTATTTGACTACAGTAAGATTAAATCATTAAATAAAGTTTTTTTTTGATCTACAATTAATCTAAAGAAACTGTGAGATTGTAATTATATCTCGCATGCAAATTGTGCAGATTGTTATAGCTTTAAAATTTTAATTCTATATTTAATCTTACATAAATCATGTCTCGAAGCAGTATTGTAAATTAACCCAGAAGATAATCTATTATCTTTCCGAATTTCCCTCAAGTCTTATAAGTCGTGTGAAGAAGTAAAAACCATACACAAACTCACAAAATTTTGCATTTCGCAATTTATTTATATTTCAATCTCTATAATAATCTGTACGACTTGGTTTAATAGCTGTCGTAACAATTCCACTTTATATGTTATCATACTCGTATCTATCTCGTATAACACGACGTGTTTATGGCGATCTGAACCGCAGTTCTTTACTTTAATATGCATAAAATTTTTGTATGACCCATATAAAATATTAGTGTTAAATCAAAAACGAAATTTGTAAACTTTGAGACAAGGACCCTGTTGAAACAATCTGAAATAATTAAAGTTAACCCATCAAAAATATAATTGTGAAAATGGGAGCCAAGTTCAATATTAAGAATATACGTGGTTGTCAACTTCACCGATAAAAGAATTGAGATCTAAAAGGTGCCAAGTTCTGTAGTTATCCTGATTTTTTTTCATAAGAACATACAACATTCTAAAATAAATTTAAAACACAATTTCTTGTTTTTTTCTGATACAAAAATAGTGTTTGCTATTTAAAAATAGAACCTCTTAAATTTGAACAGTCGAATTATTTACACAGAGTAGATAACATAGGATGAATTGAAGTTCAAGATTTGACTTGGCTAGTTTTTACCAGTAAATTAAGTTTTTAGAAGAGTGAAACATGTTGTCCATACAATATAAAAACAGTAACTTGCGTATAGCATAAAGAAGATATAAGTGATAAGCTGAATATAAGATAACTTGTATGTAAAAAATGTAACTAATTTGTAACTTAATACATTAAAATCACTAAACAAATCTAAATAACTAATTTTGCACTGCATGTAATATTTTGATGTATTTCATACTCTTATTTTTATGATAGAAAAACATTACACATACATGATTGTCCTATCTTACTAATATTATAAATGTGAAAGTTTAGATGGATGTTTAAATGTTTGTTACTCAATCACGCCAGAACGGCTGAACGGATCTGGATAAAAAATTGCCACAGAAATAGATTATAACCTGGATTATATACTATATTACTTTTTATCCCGGACAAATTTACGGTTCCCGTGGGATAGATTTGTTTTTGTTTTTCTATAAACAAATGTATACTATATACAAATGTCTTTTAATGTTGAGCATTTTCTTTAGTAGTTGGGTCGACAATTGAACATCGGTAACTTCAATGCGATACTTGTACAATATTCCTATTCCTTGTAGAATTTCTGCCAGATCATTTGTATCTAGGTCAGTTTTATTCACGATCTAGAATAGTCAGTGCTGAAAACAAAAATGTTTTTTTTTGATTCGGTGATTTTGAAATACAAGATATAGAAATAATAGAAACAGAAAATGAGTTTTTTGTTATATTGTACTTAAACAATAAACATGATAAGTGCAAGTTTTTTCGTCGTACGTAACATATAAGATAATATGTAAATAATCAATTTTCTAATAATTGCTCATATTAATTTTGACAATTTTCTGAGTTATTCTAGTGTTATGTAATTTTCAAATGACAAAGCACTGTTATTACAAAAGTAGAATTTTTTTTAATTCCAAAAAAATTGTAATATTGCCCGTTACAATTCTCTTTGTATATAGGCTAAAAACAAATTGGAAGCCACTTATAAGTATTACAATATAAAGTACTGAACCGTTTACATCCATTTTGTATATTACAAGAATTACACAATAAAGAATTATTCGTAATAATATTCCTATGCTATTTAATAATTAATTTGTATGCCAAAGTAACCGTAGCAAATGGTTTCTACTTTATTAATATTCGCTTTGAACCTTTATAGTCGGTATTATGTAAATTTTATCGTTCATTACACGCAAAATGGCAATGTACTACACCTCTAGCAAATTGCGAGAGAAAATCAGGTTCGAATAATGACACTGTCAGTCATGTTACATATAATTAAGTGAAATAAGCAGAATCTTGTTAACATTTTTCATAAATATGTCAGGAATTAACGCATCCTTCGTAACTGGTTTACTGTTCGTGTTCTTACTTTGGTTATCGTATAGGGATGGAAAAGAAAAGTGTTTGTGAGAAAATGATGTATGGTAATAATACGTAATTATAGGGAAGATCTTTTGAGATATTAATTGTGTAGTTCTCTATCTCGTTGCTCTGAGCCAGTGGTTGCTAGTATGTACGGCTGCAGATGCGAAGGTAAAGGGTTTGAGTCCCGAAGTAAGTATAGTGTAAGTGTATTGATATTTTATGTCAAGAAATACTCAGTAACAGCCCGGAGTTAGGAAGTTGGCGGTATTATATCTCCATGCCTCAACACGTCGTCGGTCCTACGCATTATCTCTTACCGATAGTGTCAAAGAATTTGTCCCATCGTTGTTTGTAAGTAAATGGAATTGAGAGTGCCCTTGTGTCTGCACACACATTTGTGCACTATAATGTCCATTATAGCATGTAAAACTAGTCTATTTAATAGCAAAATTTGCATATATTATTATACAATAATCGTATGAAGTATTTTGAATTGATACTATATGAAATTGATAATAATGCTCTATTATTTTATTTCAATAAAAAAAACCTTAAGTAGATGAATCGAGCACATTAAAATATATTATGTTAGATGAATATATTAAAAATAAATAAAATAGAACTAAGATAAAAAAGATCTTGAAATCTCCTTTATCTCGTAGACCGAGTTTGTAAAGTAGACAATACGTGTACGTTAATGTGTACGGTTTTTTCACCTTTTGTGAACCGATTTTCATATTTTTTATTGCATAGATAATATAATAGACGAAAAAACCTTTATAAAATAAAAAAATACTGACTTCAAAAAAAATTACTAAAATGTATAAAATAACTAGTTTTCATTTACTATAGATACTTAATCAGATATTTTCGAAGTCTATGCCAGCTGATACAAATCAAAGCACATCATTCATTCATATTAAATGAAAATTACCAATTAGTTATTTTTTGCTTTTTAGTGTTTTTTAAAAAAAACTATTTTTAGTATAGATATAGTAATAGCAAATAAAAAGAGAGTAATTTAAAAATTCAGTGCGTGAAAAATCAATCGTCCCCTATTTTCTAAACTCAGAGGTGTATTTTTTTTCTTTAAATGGGACCATTTCAGAATAAACCTCTTTCGAAAAAAGAAAGAATTTTGCAAATCCATCTATATATGATGGACTTATACCCGAACATACATAGGAGTATATAAACATCCGAATTGAGAATCTCCTATTTTTTTAAGTCGGTTAAAAATTCATATATTTTATATATACTCAATTGTTATTTAAAATAATTTATATGCACTATTATACAAACATACATATGAATCATTGGTTGGTTCACTTAAGTTTATAGCTTCCTTAAGCTGACAATATTATGCGCTGTAC